TTAGGTTAAAAACAATTTGAATTTTTATAAAGTTGTTAAGCTCCCAAGTCTTTTCCACTTTTAAAACCAACATACCTCTGATAGGATTCAGTCATGGTCAGTCAATACAACAGTAATTTCCAGATAGTCCATCTATCTTGTGGTTAGCTGTATGGAAACTTCTTTGAATTTTGAAATCAGTGCATGGACTTGGCCACAGTGATGGGATTGCAACAGGTTCTCCAGGAAGAAGCTCCAGGGTGGAGATGAGTGTGGAGGGCTGAGTGCTGAAGCTGGCTGCTCTCAACGCCCCTTGCTCTCTTAAGGCTTTGACTAACTGGCTTATTTAATAGTTATCATTATTTACGTTATATTATTATTTATTATAAATAGATTATTTTAGATAACTATCAATTCATATAAAATTGTACTAATATATCAATTATGTGTTAAAATACACAACATTTTATTAAAACATTGATTATTATTAAGATGTTAATAAATATTAAAATGTTGATTGGAACATTTTTAAAAATTTCATGTCTGACTTTTTAGAAGATAGGGGATTCACACATCTGCTCATCCCTTGAATTTGGCATGATATGTTGTTTTGGTAGAAGAAAATAAAGAAAATCCAAATTCATATAGTTATATAGCTGGTAAAGGGAAGAGTATTTTGGTATAGTCTTCAGAGATAGTAACTAATTCTTTTATACTACACTAAACTTCAGCAAGGGATAGTTTTCCTAAAGGTTAGTTGAAATGTGAAATGTGAAACAGTATCAATGAATTATTTTGTGTTTGTTACATTAAAATCCAGCCATGCATGTTTTTCTTTTCAAATGCCCTTTTATACATGCATGATTGTGACATAGATTATTCCCTTGGCAGATTCTTCATCACTTGATGCAGAACTTCCGACTGTTGATACTGTTTGCTTGTACCAACAACAATCTCATTCAATAAAATTGTTCTAAGTGTTGAGAAGCTGTCAAGTGCACACTGGCAAATACGTTTTCTTCATTTGAATTTTATTATTGGCAACAAATATTGTCAGTTGTTTTTCTTAAAAGTCAACAGATTAGTTTTATTCATTTTCAACAATATGTCTGCCAAATACCCAAATCTGAATAACTTTGTCTTTTAAGCAGAAATGATGCTCCCTGAATAAAGCAAGCAATTTGGTTCACAATCAAAACAATTACAAAAGAGCTTTATCTTAAAGCAACCACTATCCAATTCAGCCTACAGCAACATGACTTATTCATAATCAATGTTTCATCCTACATAAAATTAAGACATATATTCAAGACTTTAGATATTAAAATAGTTGTTGGGCCTCATCAAGTAGATTTGAAATACAATATTTTATCTTTTCTAACCCTGAAAATGCATGGTCTTGTGCCAGGGCATGGGCTGCTTCGGCTTGGTGCTGCTGTCCTGATGCATTACTAAGACACTAGTACATTGTTTTTGCACCATCAATGCAAATGTAAACCCAGAAATTCTAGTAAAAGTCACAAGACTTGTGATTTATCCAGTAATCTGAACATTTCTGCATAACTTGTATTTGTTGTCCAGCATGCACGTTAAGGATGACCTTCAGTGATTGGTCCAGATCAGCTAAAATAAGGAAGCCCAACTATGTCTGTACATCCATCCATTTTTAGACAAAAGTTAAGGTTGGAGAAAACATATCAATTCTGTTCTCTTGATTAAAGTAAAACATCAATCCATGAATTATTGTCTGGTTAGAAGGGAGCAGTGTTCTGGGATTTTTTTGTTCGTATTTTTTCTGTGCACATTTAGCAATGGCAGCTGCAAATGACCTTATCTGTCTCACAGCTCTTTGTGTGTGCTCCTCAGCCAAAGCAATGCAATAGTTTACCCTAAAAGATATTTCAGTAACTTCCCCATTTTTCCTTGGAAAAGCAGTAGTTGGCTTTTAAAGAGAAAAATATAGGAAAATCAGTATAAGTAAAGTAACTATTTTTCTATATACAGAGAATTACATTGAATTCAATAGTATTCACTGTGCATCTACCATGATGCAGGTCCTGAGGAGAGGGGATCAAGAGAGATAAGATCCCTGAAATAGGCAATTTTGTTATTGGCTGGTGGGAATGGGTGCTTGGTTAAAAAGTAAACAAAAGCAAAACAAATATAAAGTATACTAAAAACCAGGAAGAAAATAGAATCTGGGAGGCAGCACTAGATTGGAGAGGATCATCAAGGAAAACCTTTCTGAGAATATAGTATTTGAGATGTCAACTGAAGAAGGAAAAGAGACTCAGCTATGCAGAACTTGCAGAAAGTCTTGAAGACAGAAGAAGGAGCAAGTTCAAAGTGCTATGGGTGAAACAATCTTGAGTGTCTTTGAAATAGAAATGGGCAGTATGAATGGAAGAGGAGAACAGGGCCCAGTGTCATGGGACTCCTTGGTCAGGGACAAGGACACAAGAAGAGATGTGGTCTTATTCTAAGGGACATGGAAAGCCAGAGAGGACCATGACTGACTTGCATTTTTAAAAGTAGTTTTGTAGAGAATTGATTTTGAGAAACATCCAGGGGATAGAATGCTATTTTTTAAAGTCCAACTTTATTGTACATGTCCATAATAATTTGTCTTTGCCCCCAAATAACCCAGACAATCAATCAAACTTTATATTCTTAAATTGAATTTAGGCAGTTTCAAAATATTTTGGATTCTTTTGCTAGTCAAATAAGCCATTTATAATTGTGGTATTACTGGTGGTTAATATAAATGGAATTACAAAAACAATTTTTTCCTTATTTAAAAAAAAACTACCAGTACTATCACTATTAATACAAAGACAAAAATAAATTTTCATTTCCCAGAACTGGCATTTCTCTCAACATTGTCTGGCATAAGTCATAAAAATGACAAATGTTAGCCTTCAAACTAGAAAATAGAATATGGACTACATTTTCACAAAAATTGTAGGAACAGCCGTGTACAGCTGTTAGAAAGCTGTTAGAACAAAGACAAATGTTCTAATAACATAGTTGATAATGAGTATTAATAATGAATGCAATTAAACAGTATTCTAAAAAGTAAAATTGTATAATGCATACCCAAAATTTAGATATCTGTGGTGGACAAAATCGATATTAAAATGAGGAAAAATGCATGGACTCTTTAAAACCAAAAAAATCCTTAATGGTATCAACACATAGGAGTAGTTTTATAGAAATTATTTTTTTTCTTGCATGGGTAGATATTAAATGAATATGTATTGAAAGAATAACAAATGATGTACTGGATTAGGGTATTAAAAAACTTCCATAAGGGAATTTCATGGTCTATATTATCTATATGTCCTCACTTCTGAATAAACTAGCATTCTATTCCTTGGAAATTGCTTTCAGGTTTTTTTTTTTCCTCTTCTTTTTTTCTCACTAAAGTAAAATAACTCTTCAAAATAGTCATACAAAGTAATTTGTTAGTTTCAAGAATTTGACTCTTGATTCCAAATTTATAATTCCATTTCAAGTGCTCTGTAATTAAGTGTGTTTAAATAGTTGATATAACCAGACTGTAGCATAGCTGATCCACCCGGAGGTGTGTACAGATTGGTTCACATCACTGTTTGACAAAACAAAAAGCAAACAAGAGCAAGAACATTGCTTAATGAAGACCATTAAACTAACATGGTCAGCATGCCTTAGAAGTTTAGTGTCTCTGTGAGCACAGAAACACATAGCTGCAGACTTAGATCTACATGGACATATGAACTCGTATGATCTCATCAGTATCTAGACCTAGAAAGATTGGTGCCTTTTCTTATTGCATTCTTGGGTCATTTCTGAGCAGTGCCTCCCACAATATCTCCAACTGTCTAAGATTTCTATGTGAGTTTATACTATAATACCAGTAGCCCATTGCTTCACCACCATCTTTACATTGTACACAATGTATCTCCACCTGGAGATCATAGTCATTGACACCTTTAGCCACACACAAGGTGAAAGGAAATCCATTTCAAAGTGGCTAAGGTATAAAGACGTGTGTGGTTTCACAAAAACAAAAGCCCAGAGAAGATAGAATAGGTTAATACGGTGCTCAGTGGCATCCTGAAGGACCCAGTTCCATGTCTCCATTCTGCTCCTCATCAGTTGGCACTTCTCCCAATGGCTCCTCTCCAGCTGAGAAGTTGGGCACTGTCCCTGATTGATTTCAGTGGTTCCTAAGTAAGGTGACTACAATGTGAGTCAGAAAAACTATGTGTCTTGTCTCAATGTGAGGAATACTTCCTCATATGTCTAACAGGCTTGCCTTTATATTTCCTGGGCTACAAACCTACCTTTAAAACAATTCCAGGAAATGGGAATGAGACCAATGTTTCTGAGGCTCATACTGAAGTGAGAGTCCTCYGAGATACATAAATGAGTAGAGAAGGACAGATGCCTAAGCCAGGCAGGGACCACTGAGAGGAGGAAGAGAGAGGGGGTGAATGTTGAGTTGACAAAGTAGGAATACTTTGAAAGCCAGCATGGCACCAAATGAAGATCTGATGAACACAGAATAGTTCCGCTGCCAGACGAGAGGTTCCTGCGTTTTCAATCTTAATGTTGTGTTTCCAGTATTTCAGGTGAGAATTGTGTTTCAACAATTTATAGAATCATTTGAATCAGACAAAAGAATCCTGTGTAGATTTATGCAGCTGATCCAAACCTTGAGTTACCCATACCTGTGTCTTACAAAAGCATCTATTGTCTGATTATGGTGTTGCAGAGAATAAGTGAGATTTGTATTTCATGATTGGATGTATGAATGGCATTGGAGGATTTTTTAATGGCTTCTTTTGTACTGAGGGAAAAACAGTAGTCACGCAACATTATATAAATTTAATATTAACATGAACTTTTAATTTTATCATTTAATTTCCCCTACAATGTTTTTTAGGCTGATTCCCGGGTGATTTGGTGGTAAATTAATCAACATCTTTGTTAGTAATAAATGCAGAATAGGACTAATTGTCTTTTTCTCAATTTTTAAGATCCTGACTTTAAGGACCTTGGAGTTTTGAAACCCTTACCAGGTTGGTAAAATAGATATTTAATAATGTTCAGAGGCCATTGTTTTCTGCTATAAAATATACTTTTGGTTTATTATTCAAGCTCCATTTCTGTGTGTTTGTTTGGCATCTTATTATTTAGCATGTGAGTTTGAGATGGGCGGCCCTGAAGGAATTGTGGAGTCCATACAAATTTTGAAGGAAGGCAAAGCTTCTGCCAGCGAGGCCGTGGATTGCAAGTGGTACATCCGAGCCCCTCCACGATCCAAGGTCAGTCTTAAGAGGAAACCTAGACCTGAAGATTGACTTGAGAATAGTCTAGAATGGACATCTCTTTGAGGCAACTGGACATGCTGGACACGTCTCAGGATGCCATCACAGCTACCATTTTATTTTGATTTTGAAATGCAACCTATCTTCCCTTATCCAATGTAACTTTCTGCATCATAATTTATAATATGGAGAAGGTGATGAAGGGATCACTTGATAACCCAACTGAGACAATAGTCTGAAGTAAGTCTACCTCTCCAAAAGTTAGATTGAAGTGTTAGGCATGAGCTGGGGTACTAACCATAATTACAATTATGCTCTGAATGTCAGTATCTGCAGTTTATTTGCTAACTTAAACTAGTGGAGAAAAGGGTCAAGGGTTATAAAATCATGTGTCTCTGGCATATAAAATACAGATGTGAAAAGGCTAGGACAATGGTGACGGGATTGAGGAGTGTTAGTACAGACCCTAGGTGAAAGTTCAGGCCCTCATGGTCCCAAAAGATCAGGCTGAGCCATGCATATGCCAATCAAAGGGACTAGCAATGGTGATGGGCAGGAAAAGAGCTCTGGTCAGTGTGGCCAGGTGAGGGCAGATATGGAGGACAGTGACCAAAACTTGTCTTCAAGCAACTGACAGAAACTTTAAGGCTTTGTAAAAAGGTGAAGAAAGGCAAGGTTTGGGGACTTGACTGACGGGGGCATTGGCACAGCAGGTGGCCATGGTCAGGCCATGGTCTGGTTGGTAACCCTCTCAAGACGGTTCTGTGGAGCTTTGAGAAGGTCATCATTGTTTGAAGGGCGATTCAGTCCCCGTGATGAGATGTGTCCTCCTGCTAAGGGGGCAGCCTCAGTTTCCATCATGGGGTAATTGCTCCCACTGAATGATTAAAAAGGAAAATGGAGTCAGAGAGGAAAAAACAGAGTTAGTTAGATCAATCACTGGTCCCTCGTTCCAGAGCTTGTGTCCATTGGAAAGGGACAGTCCCTCCGTGATTGCCTATTAAGCTCTTTGTGATGGTTAAGAGAAGATGTGCACTCGATCTTACTAAGTCTTACAATTTTTTTTTTCATGGTGCTGAAAGTCTAGACTCAATGTTGATCACCCCATTTTTGGCAGTACATTCTAGAATGGCAGCCACTTGGGACACACTTCTTTAGGATAACCATATTCATCCTATTTATCTTCAGAAACATTGGGAATGGGTAGCTTCCATGGGTGTGAAACTTTATTATTTACTTTCCTCCTTTTACTCTCATTCCTGTTACAGCAAAGCATTAAAAAAATACTGATTTATTAGATCCATACTTGACTACTTATTGAGTTTGAAACAGTTGATTATTTTATTAACGCCAATATGATAGAGAAATAATAAAGCCTCCTAAACCTGTCCTCTGGTGTTCACCTTCCTGCTTAAACAAATATGTGACAAAAAATTCCAAGCCCCAAGATCAGGTCGCCCAGGTGTAGTTGAGTGTAAGTAAAGGAGGAAGAGGCACATACACCTGGTCAAAGGTGGAACCCTTGGCACCAGGGTCTCCACTGAGCCCTGGCATGTCAGGCAGGCAGGAGGGCAGGCTCTTCAGGAAGAGGGAAGAGCATCCGGGAGGTCATGGAATCATGAGAATGAGCTTTTATGAATTAAAGAAATAGCATGCTATCTTATCAAAGCACATGGTGGAGGGGCGGTGAATCAGGAAGMGGAAGGGCTCTGTGGGCACCCCCACCAAAGAATCTGGGCTCCATCTGGGTGCCTCAGTGATGTGGAAGAGGGGCAAAGCAAGGAAGTGTTGCGAGCAGGTTTACATTTTGAAATACAGTGTTTTCTGGAGAAGACAGGACAGGGCGCATCACTGAGCAGGAAGCTGTGCTCCGACAGAACCCAGGCTGAGACCTGTCTGCTGGTAGACAACCACAGAAACACACGAAGGACAGGGACAAAGAATTTATGATGGGGTATTCAGGTTGAGGGGAAACCAAGAGTCGCCTTTGAGGGAGTGGACATCTCAGGAAACACCTGTGTCCTGCTCGTCCTGAGTCTCCCTGGGATCTGTCTGTAGGGTTTGCGTGTGCAGGAGAAGAGCAGCACTCTTCACCCACACCTCTGCTCCAGAGATCCCCAGACCCCTCTCCACCTTCCTGCTTTGACACCTGCAGTTCTATTTGCATCTGAGAAAATCTGTGAAAGAGTTAATTTCATTATGAAAAGAATATTTACTCCTCTGTAAAATTTTATTCACTTAAAGCTCTTGGCATCATAAAGCCATAAATACCTACCTGGATTACCAGAGAGCTAGAGTGCATTTTATTATGACTTCTTACATGATTTATGAATTAACATGCAAGTACTTTCCACTTTTCCTAACCTCTATGAATGAAAGATTTTTAAGGCTTCTCACATGCAGGAAGTATGTGAGCAGCATCTCACTGCCTTAGCCCCTCAGTGCTGCCTTACGGGGAAGGTTTCCATGAGAGAGCAGATACACACCTCTTTCTCCCAGCTGGTAAATAGGCTGTCTTTTGTACACTCCCAGAACAACAATACCGAGTGTACCTGTCTGTTACAGAAGTTGGCATTCTGTGACCCAAAGGGGAAGCCGCCTGCAGAGCTGGACAAAGATGGCTCTATTGTGACAGGCTTTCTCTGCTAAATTAAAGGTTAGAGGACAGGAAGTGGCTTTGAATGCTGTGGAGAAAAGCAAGAACTGGAGATTACTGCCTATGTGGGTTTTCTATTTTTATGGAGCTCTTAGCAGTTTATGAGAATAAACTATCAAAGCACAAGTTAAACTTGAAATGGCTTGCTGTGAATATTTCAACAATACCTGGTGACTGAACCRTATTGCACAATGAAAGTGCTAAATAGCTTCCTTGAATTCCCTTAAAATTCAAGTGAGTTACATGATGCTTCTCAGGTTTTGATAAATAAAAAAGGTGATTTCTGGCATCTCCTTTATTTAGGAAAAGGAGTACAGATGATTCCCTTTAATTAGAATGTAATCTGTCCAGATTTCTTAGATTTTGAAAAACTAAAGCCAGAAAGAATATTGGCAACCAGTAACAAGGAAATCATTCAAGAGGTGACCTGTAGAAAATGTCTATCTCCCATACATACAAATGCTGAACAAGGGTGGTAGAAAGTACTATTTTGTCCAGTTTCAAATCTTCTCCAGAAAAAAAGCCAGCAGGGTGGAATAATGGGAGAATAAATCATGATAATAGTTGGAAACTTGATTCTGGGAGGGATGGACCTTGGATATCCGTTGTACCCTAATCTCAAGCAAAAGATTTGGCATTCAGTTAAAACTCAAGGAAAGAATAAATGGATGAGCACTCAGAAGAAAGATACATTAGCAACCTTCAGATACCTGAAGGACAGGCGTATGAAGAGGAGTAGACAATCTGCATGGAGAAAGTACTGCAATTTCTTTGAATATTTGAAACTAGAGAAATGTAGCTATTAATTAAATGAAGAGAAGGTTTTTGCTTTAATAATGGAGATCAAATGAGATTCCAGAGGAGAAATCCAAGCAGAGTTTGGCAAGGACTTTGTATAATAATTAAAACTCAAGTAATTTTTTGGCAGAGATAATATGAAAGTCTTCTCAAAACCAAAATCCCATGAATCTATGATAAGTGATTTGCTCAAATATTTGGCTAGTTAATAACAGAACTGGCATTAGGTCAACGTCTCCTAACTCCTGGTGGAGTCTAATATCACAAAAGCCCACTATTGTGGGAAATGATAAAATTTGCTGAGACAGGAAAGGGAGATGGTGTCAAAAGACTTATAAAAGATGCTGTAAGGAGGTAACTAAGTCAGTGAAGAGCCTTTTGGGAAAATAAAATTTTTATTATTTATCCATCCTTTAATACTTCAAATTAATTTTAACTTTTTACCTAATTAAAAACATTTTGAGGCGAGATACAGTGGCACACAACTGTAATCCCAGCGTCTCAGGAGGGAGGCTGAGGTTGGAGAATTGAAAGTTCAAGGCCAGCCTCAGCAAAAGCCAGGTGCTAAGTAACTCAGTGAGACTTTGTCTCTAAATAAAATACAAAATAGGGCTGGGGATGTGGCTCAGTTGTTGAGTGCCCCTGAGTTCAATTGCTTGTACAAAAAAAAAAAAATGAATCAAATAATCTTAAAAACCTGACAAATATGTCTGTGGTCATTTAGAGTAAAATTGTGTGACAGTGACTTTATAATGGCCATTAATATTGGAGGCAGAATCTTAAGAGAGCACCCAAGATTTCAGACTCAACCCTGGAACTGAGAAGATGACAGAGTACCACATGTCTGCTCATGATAAAGTGTCTGGCAAGGGGATTTGGGTGATCCATCAAGGCTACCAATCAGTTGATTTTGATCAAGAGGGAGATTTTCTAGATGAGTCTTATCAAATCATATGAGCCTTTTAAAAAACATTGCTTTCTCTGATTTTGGGCAAAAGAGAAGCTAACCAGGTGACTCAGGAAGGTTCTCCAGGAGGAAGGTAGTCACTGGTAAAGAGCCATCAAGAAAACAGGCCCTCCCTCCTGAAGTTCAAGAAACTAGGATTTTAGCCTCAGAAAAGCACAGCCAAGCCTGGAGCACTTCTAAGCTATAAAACAGGGGGATAATAAATGGGTGTTGTTTAAACTGCTAAATTTGAGGTGATTTGTTATAGAGCAATAAAAAATTAATGCAATAGACTAAGGGTAATCACTGTAATGGATTACAATGAAAAGTAATACCAGTTCTGAAGATTGAGTTTGCCTTCAGTATTTCCAAAAATGAGAATAAAATTGGGCAAAGTGAAAGTCTTAGCAGGTTAGATAACTACCAACAAAAATGCTATGGCCCAGCTTGTTTTTAAGGAAATATTTTTGTATTATCAGATTTTAGGGGGAAGCTCAGATGAACTTGAAATATTTTGACATGACTCTGGGCTTACATGAAAATTACTTTAATATTACTGCATCAAGATCTGTGGTTGAGGTGTATATATTTCCCATT